CATAGTGCAATAACAAACAAAAAATTAAATCTAAACTAATAGCAGCTTATCATAGTGTCCAAATAACTAACAGCCCAGTTTATTTATTGTTTCCTCACACTGAAGCTAGTGTCCATGTGTGATGATATTCTAACTACTACTTTACCAACAAGAACCGTATGACTTCCTGTTAGGTCCAGGTCAATCCTGTCTCCATGTTGGGGGAGAATTTATACAAACAACTAATTGATGAAGTTGCTGCTTTTGCTCCATGCGTAAATGTGCACAGCTTTCACTTTTTGGAGACACTCATGGACAGATTGATCCTGTCTCCATGTTGTGGATAATTTATGATTACAAGTAATTACTGAACTGCACAAATCCATGCAGTTCTCTCTCTTGGAGACACTCATGTGAACCCTGCCACTGTCTGATGCTGCAGGTATTTAGCAAACTCTGAGGAAAGGCTCTCTGTGATGTTTTTTGGAAGAAAACTGGTGCTGAAATGTGAAAAAGTCCTCCACTAATCACTTCAGACAACTCAAAGAAAAATTGCTTCAGAAATGTGACGACATCCAACCTAATAAGACTGCCATTATTATCATGATTATTATGGAACCGTGACCACAGTGTTCATTCAGACATGAAGCTACCACATTCGGTTGCATATCTAAAAGTGGCTTTAATATACATCAAAGTTGACTGAAATGAAAGAATAATTCTTTTATACGCATGCGGTTCACATTATATAGTGTGATTTATACTGTATTTAATAAATATTGCTACACACTTCACTGTCGTTGCACTCAGGTGTCATGCCACCTGATGAGTACTACTACAATGTCAACAACTCTGTGTACACAAACACAGTGGCCAAATTCAGGTACTATACCATTAGTGTTTCACCACATCACTGTATTACACATCAGTTTGTGGATACCGGTAACACAAACGTTTCCTTTTTGTCAGTCTCGAGTTTGCTGTAGAGGTGGCGGACCTCCTCCAACATCCTGCACCGAAGGAATGGCAAGAAGTGGCCGAACAAATCAAGATACCTTTCGACCAAGAGTCTCAATACCATCCCGAGTTTGACGGCTACATTAAAGGTTAGTGTTTGGGCCTTTCTGACTCTGACCTTCGTAAGAAAATGAAGCCTCCGTAACATGATGTCAGAATCTCCTGTGGGCGTCTCACAGGTCACCCAGTGAAGCAGGCGGACACGGTGATGCTGGGTTATCCTCTCGGACTGCAGATGTCTGCGGAGATCAGGAAGAACGACCTGGAGGCTTATGAGCCGGTAACAGACCCTCATGGTCCCGCCATGACATGGGTAAGACAGACGTGCACAGAGGCCTTTGTACATGAAATTGCTGCTAACATAACACATTTTTCCTTATTCAAATCTATGCAATAAAGTAAGAAATAATTAAAATATAAAGGGCTCCCCTCACTCATTTTTAATACTTTCACGCTGCTGGAGTCTTGGTCTTGTAAGTTCTAGTGGCAAGTTATCCAGACATTGCAATGTAACTGATCTTACTGAGTTGGTTCACTATTTTTTTTTCTGCTTGTACTCATGTTATACTACATTTAAGCATTAAACTATTACTGCCACAGCTCAGCATCGGTTGCATAATATTACTCAGAAGTGCTCGTTTGTACTTTTACAAGTGCATGTATTTGAACAAGCTGTGGGTGCAGTTTGTTATTCTGCACCTTTAAGCTTTAGATGTATGAGCAGGAACAAGTTTGAACGTGCAGGCTTTGCTGGAATAGTGTAGATTCATTCAAGCCCCTTTCTTTGCCATTTACGGAGCCAGGGCTGTGCATGAACACCAGATTTTCTTCAGCAGGCTGCCAGGAGATATTTGCTCAACATCACAAAAACTGATGTGGATTGGAATCCTGTACTTCGACTTTAATGTTGGTTTTATATATTTCCATAAGTCCTGGAACTAACAGGGGTGTAAATCAGAGTAACCGATACACTATTACGATAACGGTATTCAATACAGCAATTCTGCAGTATTGGATAAATTTCAAGGAAATCATCTACGATACATCATGTTACCTGTTAACTTGAAGTAAAAACAAAAAACCTAAAAAGCAGAAACTATGTATTTGTTCACTGCATTATGGTGTCAGTATGTGTGTTTCCATTATTCAGTTTTAATAATGCATCATTTCAGTTACTAGTGTTCTCATTTGCTTCCCCCCCACTGTGAGTTTCTTGTTCTTCATCACAAGTTAGTTAACTTCGATTCACTTTATCGTCATTCATCTGTTAGGCGCCATCAAGAGGAGTCATGAAGTAGTGAATCTGACAGGTCAACCTGGCTGTGGGCATCTACATACAGTGCCTGCATGTTTCAATAAAAATATAGATATTTGGCATCAGTGTATTCATAATGGATCTTAGGAAGAAGAAATACGATCGCTTCATCGATATTTTGTCTCACTCTTAGGAACTACGATTCTCATGAAAATGTAGTGAAGCACAATATTTCCTTATGAAATGTAGTTCAGTACATGTATTAGGTAATATAAAGTACCTCCTGCCGTTGTGTTCTTGAATAAATGCACTAAGGTCACTAGTCAAAATGATACAGACTTCATTGTTTAAATTAAAAAAATAATGAGCTGCTTGTGTTCTATATACCTACATTAATTTGCACCAATGCTTTTCCCTTCCATTGTCAGGGTATGTTCGCAATCGGCTGGCTGGAGCTAGGAGAGGCCGAGAAAGCTCAGCGTTTGCTTGAGAAGTGCTTCAAAAACATCCAAGGACCCTTCCAGGTATCCTCGTGACGCACACACCCACCTAATGCTAACTATTATACAGTGAATGTGTGATTACCTCTCCTCACAGGTATGGAGTGAATCATCAGACGGCTCTGGCGCAGTTAACTTTCTCACAGGTATGGGAGGATTCCTGCAGGCCGTGCTGTTTGGTTACACTGGTTTCAGGTCAGTTATGAATCCTCCTAACATGTACAGTGAAAACGACACTGCTATATGTGTTGTCCACAGCATGTAACAGGGTGACAAAGCTCCACATGCTGTGTTTTTCCTAGAGTTCAGAAGAACTGCCTGGCGTTTTCTCCGCTTCTTCCCAATGACATTTCTGAGCTGTGTGTCCGTGGTGTGAACTACCTGGGCAGTCAGATGGACTGGCTGCTGAGGAAAGACGAAGTCTGTATCATACTGAGGAAACAGTCAGGCAGCGCTGGCAACACTGAGGCACATAATCTACAAGTTGTCCTAAAGGCATCTGGAACCAAAATCCCTCTCACGCCAGGTAACACACAAGTTAAGACAAGCAATTATAGCCGTTGACTTCTGTTCTTTGTACCAGTGTTTATTTTTGCAGTAAGTCTTGAAATTCATAATAAAGGTGAACAAACATCACCCCTGCAAAGAGCAGTCAAAGGGCTATTTATGCAATACAGAGGGGAATAATGGTGTATGAGATGAGAAAGAGTGCCATACTGAGGAAAATTAGTGTTAAACGTCAGGTGTATCATCTTGTCAAACACCTTCTCTTGCATCTAGAATGAAAATAACGTAGAGTACTCGCTCCGTGTAGTAAAGACTGACAGGCTTCTATTACAGTGACATCTTGTATAATGCCTCCCATGAAGATAAGAGAACCGGGGGGCTGTCAGGGACCTCTGAGAGCGACATGCCACGTGCCAGTATGAGACAATGTGATTTCAATATACTGTGCAGACTATGTAGGAATTTCAACTGTTGCACACTCGAGTATATGAAGCTGATGGTTTGCAAAACATGTTTTACCCAGAGGAACTGAGTTTCTTAACAGTTTGATTAATAAACACTGTTGTGTGAACCTGACCCCCATCCAACCTAACTTGTATACATTTATATTTTCAGGGCAGCCAGTGACTTTTCCCCGAGATTCTGGCTGCATTTGTAAAGCGGATTCCACATCTTTCTGCTGGCCTTTCTGAAACAGAAGCAACGATCTTGCTCATCTGTCCATTTACCAAGGATTGAAAACACAAGTTATTTTATATTCAAGCAACTGTTCTGTTATTTGTTACTGTTACTTTGAACACCATGGAAAACATGTATTAAATTCAATGAAAAGACCAATTTAATTTACAGGTTTTGAACAAAGCTTCCAATAAATCACAGTGCAGTGCCACAAATAGGCATAAAGGGTTCTATAAAATGTAAATGCACTGTTTGTTTTGGTTTAATAAAAAGTAAAATGCAACAAAATAATGTGTCAGTGCTCACTTTACTTATATGTGAACTCAGCAAATTCTCAGTAGCTACTCATGAGAATTTTTTGTAATAATGTGATCAGTAATTAGAAATGTGGTTCAATTATATGGCAAATCACAAAACCATACACCAGCAATAATATCGTGAAAGCTTTGCCGGGTAAACCAGAGACACCGTGCACAGCTGGCATCTTTTCTTGGTTTTGTTACAAGTATGTGAACAATACAGTTAGGAAATGTCACCTTGAAGAACTGGATGCACCCTTGCTGTATCAAAACAACCGGTGGATCCAAACATTGTGTTGCAGGGTTTGCTGGAGACAGGAAGCGGTGTCACAGTCTGCAGGGGAGGATAAAACAAAAAACAAAAAGACGTGTATCATAATTTATAGAAAACAAAGTCAATGCCTCTAAAACTGGGCCACCGTCATAATACTTTATGATCTTTTTATAATTAAATATTTTGTACCTCTTTTATTTGACTGTAAACCCTGCATGTGTTTAAGTGCTGTGGGCGGAGCGAGCACATCAATCCAGATACTGATTGGCTGGTTTAAATCTGAGCAGCCCTGTAACACCGCCCTGAATTTTAGTTGGGTTCGCACGATTTGTATTCACATGTCACCAGTTTACGCACTCCGCACGTTTCTCAGCCATTGTTCCTAAATGTAAGCTCCGCCCTCTCGGATGTAGCGGTTTACAAATCGAACGTGTCCCGTGCCCACGGAGCTTCAGGATTGGCCGGTGAGGTTTGAACTAGTTATAAACGGTTTCAGCGGGGCAGTGGGCAGGTTTGCTGTATTCGTCCGGGACGTTCAGACGGTGGAGACTTTACACCTGAAAGTCCCCCTTTTTTCATAGGACATTTATTTTTACGCAAGTATGCGATTGATTTAGCTTTTAAAATTAGCGGAGCGTCGCGTTACCTTTTCAGAAACTCGGATATCAAAGGTAAATGTTTTTACGTTAGCTTTAATAATCAACGTTAGCTAGCTAACGCTGTAAAGTTAGCCTTTTGAGACTCAGCAAAACAGCTGTGAACAAAAACACTGTCGCCAACTTGGTTGAAATGATTAATTGTGTGTCACAGTCACTGTTACCGCAGTGTCAATGCAGCGTTTAACAATATTTCTGTCAATGTTTAGGGTTGTGTGCGAGTCGATCCCTTTTGAATGGCTAAGCTAGCATGTTACTCAGGAAACGTTAGTCTGCTCGACTAAGTCTGTTTACTATTTAATCTCTTGAGGAATGTTAGGCTCATGCAAAGGTGCTGCTTTTACTGTAAGACAATATGTCAGTGTTGCTATAACATGAAAACAACGGGCGTCGTGTTATTGTGGGCCACATTGTCGTTAAATAGCACCAATATTTAAATCGTCCGCGAAAATGGAAGCCACTGCGCATGCCCACGTACAAGTCAGAAACACTGCAGAGTGGATCTGACAATGACGCACTAAATATATAAAATGTAACAATCAAAACTACATAGACGAATACAGTTGGTTTGCTAAAATCGTAAAAAGTCGCTGTTTAAGGTTCTGCATATCTGTCACACGTTATCAAGTCATAATATAACATATTTGTATGGACAGAATTAGCCATGGCTTTAAATTACGTTTTGATTTACCAGTAATGTTGTTTTTTCTGACATGAAAAGTCACTAATAATAGAAGAGACAGTACTCTGAACATGTGTGTACCTCACAATACAAACAGTGTGATATGAATTGCATATCTAATGCATGTCATCTATGGAGAGCACCAGTAGTAAACATTGGACTTGGGCATCAATTCAGATTGAAAAAAACAAGGACCTCTCAAGATGCACAGTTATTTGTTAATGATGTCTTCAGCTGTTAAAATTTTGTTGTAGCTAATGTAGATTCTGTAGTTACTGATGCATCTTAAGTGTAAGTGACTTTTGTTGACAAGATTCTTCTAGACCCTGTCGTGTTTTGAGTTTAATTCAAGTTAGTTCACATTTTCATGCTAAAAGGGGAAAAGAAGACTGCATCAGAACGAACAATGAAACTCAAGGAAAATAACTTCCTATGTTTTATTAGGCTCACAGTAATGTTTTCATCTACTTTCCTCTTACTTGTCATATGTAGTTTGTCGCAGGCTGTCCTGATTTTTATTTCTCAATTTCTTCATCAGGCAGTCACCATGAACTCCGTATTATCGTCCGTGCGTTCCCTCATGCAAATGTTTGATGGCAAAGCGCAAGAATTCATCAATGAAATTGATAATGTCCACATGGTTTGGCTTGAGGAGATCCAGCAAGAAGCCAATCGCATGTTCTCAAGGTAAACCTGAAGTAACACCATAAAAGTCTGTTTAGTAAAACTGTACTTGTTTTTTTATCATCACAGATTTCCATTTTTAGAAATCTGTTCTTTGTATCTCTTTTCTATAATTTACATTTTTCTAATGGAACTGTAATTTTTTATTTCAGAGACTTTAATGCAGAACCAGAATTGATGCCAAAAACACCATCACAGAAAAAGAACAGTCGCAGGAAGCGTGTGTCTTTGGGACGTCAGGAAGAAAATCCAACCAGGCGAAGGTTTGTGACCTCAATTATTGCTTCTAGTAAAAGCTTTTCAGTTCAATTTCTTCAAACTGGAGCAAATTCGAAACATGTCATGCTTTTTTAACTCTAAATACTTTTTTCTTGCTGTTTAGATTTTCAAAGGGAAGACGCAGTAACCTTCGTGGCTCTTCTGTCAAATCACTGAACTTGATCACTGAAGAGGAAAGTATTCCTGAGCCTTCTACCTCTGAAGCCAGCAGCACAACTCAGCCTAAACGCACCACTCGCAAAAAGCAGAAAAAGCCTGAGGTGGCAGAGGATGTGAGCTTGTCACCCGACAGCAGTAAAATTGAAGAGGTGCAGAACAAGAAGCCAGAGCTGGTAGAAGAAGAAGACGAAGTGGACAAAGAAAACAAGGCAAACAATGCTGAAGTCAAACCTGATGACACAGGCAGCGCTGCCAAGTCTCCTCCTGAGATACCCTCACCTGAGGTTGTCGTCAGCATCTCCACAGCAGAACGCTTGTCTGCTGAGCTCGCCAAAATGCCTGTTCTCTCTCCTGGCCGTGCAGCTGCTAAGATTGCAATCGCTGGAACAGCTCACAGCTCAAGGCGCAGCTCCGTGCGGTGCTCCCTCAATCTCCGTCACTCGCTGGCTGGTCTGCGACACAGCATGACCCAGGAATCTGTTCGCCGAGCCTCACGCCGGTCTATGATTAAGAGGAAGGCATCCCGCATGGGCAACTCCACCTGTAGCAGCAATGTTGGTGGTGAGACATAAACAATATTTGATTGATAATTTCATAGATATGAAATATTTCTGATGTCTTTATGACTTTGGTTCTTGCGGTGTATGATGTTTCAGTGTTCTTTTGTTTCATATTGTAGATGAATCTTCAGTGGAGTCTGTGGAGGAGGAGGAGGAGGATGTGTGAGTGTCAAGTTTTCATATTTGTATGAATTGTGTAATATACTTAAGTAAAAGTGTGGAGCGCTGAAATGTAGGGTCGTCAACCAAATCTAAATAGAGACAATCTCCAGAGTTATTATTTAAAAAAAAAAAATTCATCATTATAATTTTGGGCTTTGGGAAGTATCCACTGTCGTGACATGATTAGATTTGTACACTCTTAGCTGAGCTACTGCTCTTGAATTCTTTGATCTGTATTTATTTTCTTACCCATGTTAATTTATTCACTGCTATAGTGTGGTGGAAGCTGTAGCTGCAGACACAGTGGATAAGGCTGTACCAGCAAAATCTAAGGAAAGTCCAGAGGTATGAACATATTCTTTATTATCTATATTCCTTTTTTGAAACCGATTCGTTATTTTGTTTAACTGATCAACTGTCATTTTCTTATCAAACAAATACAGAGCCTGATTAACCAGCATGTGGGACGCATTACTCGCTCTGTGGCTGCAAACTCTCCAACACTTGCGCCCGCCTCATTTTCTATCTTTAATCCCAAAATGAGCACTCCAGGCAAAAAAACAGGTATGGGAACTTCTTCTTTTTTTTTCTTTTCCCTTTCCACAGTTTTTTCTTTCATTATGGTCTTGTATGAAAATGCAACATGTGTGTACTTGTCTTTCAGTTGTCGCTGAGAAGCACCAGACCTCCCAGTCCGTTCGGCGGTGAGTGCTGTGTGTGTCCTGTCTCTCATATGCTCAGCATTTGGTTGTCCTAAATGACAGAAGGGAGATTGGTGTACTTTGTTTAATCTGTAGTGATGGTAAAGGACATTTCAACATACAGAGAAAAGTAAATGAATTCTGTTTTTAAAAACATTGTTCCTTTCTGTAGGTCCAGCCGCAGTACTAAACGCAAAGCACCAGATACTGTCGAGGAAAGTCCCACAAAGAGGTTCTCTCCTCCCAAGAAAAGTCAAAGTGTACGTTGCAAAAATCATGTTGTGGTTAACAAGAAAATGGCTTTTTAAACTTGAGATTTATGTGGTTTTCTTGGTGTAATGCTAATTTGTCTGACTTCTTTATTCTGAATGTACAGGCCGTACGGCCCAACATGAGATCTTTCCTCCACACTGTGCAGAAGAATCAGATGCTGATGATGACTCCAAATTCACTCGGCCGGACCGCTATGATCAAGTCCTTCATCAAACACACCACTCCTCTGAAGACCGACACGAAGGTAGGTTATACACCTAATAATAACAACATTGTTGTAAAGTTCCAAAGGAAATTTTAGGATAAAACTAAGCAGTAAAATCATTCTCATTGTTTTTGAATTTAAACTTCACAACTTTTGTTGATCCAGCTTTAAAAAGCTTACCAGTCAAATTTAGAACAACACAAAATCCAATGCAAGAAAAACAAACTTGTCCAATACAAATCCTATTCTCATCTACCTTTTGTTGTAGTTTGTGCAAATGTTAGCATCATAAAATGCTAAACAAAGAAAGCGACCATTGTAAAAAATTATACCTGCTGAAGATTGTCATGTTAGCGCTGTCATTATAGTTTAAAGAAAACATCTCTTATATTCATCAATTTTTTTACCCTCTAAAATGCCTCTTGCATTTGCTGTTAAATTGGCAACAGAGACACAAGTGTGCCAACATGAGGCTCTCTGTGTTATACACAATGTCAGTTTGTCTGTTTCAAGCACAAGGCATTTCTAGTTGCTATGCCTAATTAAAAAATAACTTTTCAATATTTATCCTTTAGTGTTGATAGGCTGTTCCTTTTGATGTGTACCCGGTCTGATACTGCTGTGGATGGCTGCATCAGTGCCTCAGTAGTACAGTTTTGAGTTGATTCATTTTAAAATCATAATAATTATTATCAGTAAAAAGGCAATAATTGCTTGATCCCTAGTCCAGACAAACTGAACATAATCTGGATTAATTCTCAGCAGGCATTACTAATATCCACTCTGAATATTTTTCATCAATGAGTTTTTCTAAAACCAAAATCTTGTGAATCCTTAAAGAACATTTGATGTTTGCAACAGCACAAACAAACAAGAAGTCTCAAATTGAATTTGAATTGTTGCAAATGATGGTGTTTAGTGTGGGTCACATTTTTATAGTTATAAAATGATGTGGTCCTCTTATTTGGATTTCTTTTTCTCCCTCCTCAGTTGAACAGTGGTATAGTGGTAAGTGAAATGTTGAAGCACTGTATGTTGTCTGTGGGCATTTCCTGGTGTCTAATAATCCCACTGTGCAACTTCATTAAATATCTCCTCATTTTGCACAAACTCTATGATTAGCCCCTTTCACACCATCACATTGTAACTTAAATATTTGGTCTGTATCAGAGCTGAAATTAAGGCTCTGACAGTTTTGTAAGATTTCTTCTAAATTTGTGTTCTAATGAAAACGGAGGCAACAAGGCACCGAGATAAATTACTGAGAAAGTGGCACTTTTTGTGTACAAGAAGACAAACCTACATTCAAACACAGTAGTTAAACAGTGCAGTCGTACAGGGACCATGTGTGGAAGGGGCTACTGTAATGTTTGCACATTTCACAAGCACCCCAAACTACATAGTTGATGTTGCTTCTGATCCCACCGGTCACTAATGGTTGCTTGTACTGTCTGATATAATCTAACAAGCCTTCGACCCATCTAGAATAGCTACAATAACCTCACTGTTGGCTGAAATTTGATCAGAGGTGAAAATGAAAGTTAAAAATCCATCTTAACCTGAAGCTCTCAAAACATCACGTAGTCTTGTTTGTTGTTTATTAAACCGGTGTGATTAGGATGAACTAGGGGAGATCTCAATGAAATCAATGCTCTCTTTTCAGGACCTGGATTTTGTTTATGAGTAGCTTATAATCAGATTCAGCTACACTTGGTATTTGGACACAGCTGTGGTGTTTACATTGGGTGTTTCTTGGTTTTGCTTCTTTTTGTGTTCAACTTTTTTTTTTTTACACTTGTTATCACGGATACAACAGTAGTGACGCATGAAACACGAGCTCTATATGGAATTAGTCACCATTCAAACTGTGGCCTGTTACTTTAGGAAGTAGCTGTACATTTGTTGAAAGCTTTTTATGCTTCATTGTCAGATAGCATGTCCAAACGTAATTGTGACATAATGAGTAGACGGCTAGTCTGTCAGGTTTAGCTCATAGCTAATTTCCGTTTTCAGGTAGACACTAAACACTAGTATAACTAATGCTGTAGTTTGCTTCATTAAAAAATTTGATTCAACCCTTAAACGCCATGAAAATATAACAAAGTCTGTCAGTGTAGAATTTGGCAGGAGGCACTTTGGGTTAATCGGATGAATGCCACCTTTTATGTTACAGTATCTTCGTATTAAGTGTTTCCTAAATTTGTTTTCTCTCTTGTCAGACAAAAGAGCGTCACAAATTGGAAGCGCTTAAAAAGAAGCTGGAGCAAGAGGAGGAGAGGATGAAGAAAATGGAGGAGGAGAAGAAGAAAAAACAGGATGAACTCAAAAGGTTTAACCCTTCAACCCCTCATTTTTTTTTGGCTACTAGGGTCTGAAACAATTCAGTCATTTACAAATTCTTTTAAATTAACTCTTAAAACTTGTGCTCCAGGAAGAGGGATGAAAGGTTAAGAAGAGTGTTTGAGGCCAAAGTAAAAGAAGAGCAGCGGGAGGAGGAAAAGAAAAAGAAGATTGAGCAAAAAATGGCTCAGATTGATGAGAAAAACGATAAGGTAAGCAAAGTTGGTGTCTGAGTCTGTTTGTTGACCTTTGAACAGACAGAGTCCTTTTGTTGGATCCTTTATATTGTGTGTCTCTGTGCAGCGTCTGGCAGAGGAGAAGGCCAAGAAGAAGGGGGCCCTGAAGCGTCAGGAGGAGCTGGAGCAGAAGAAGAAGCTGGAAGAAGAGGCCAAAAAGAAGAAGCTTCAGCAAGCAGTGAGCCAAAGCTCTTGTGTTTTATTGCCACTGTAGTTCTTTGTTTTCTTTGTTGCACACTACAGCTGATCTAAATCAGCTGTGTATGGATGTAATGGTAAGATGACGGACTACGTGCACAAAGCTTTTCCTACATAGAGATTGTTTTTTTTTTTTTTTTAATTTGTTCATAGAAAGATTTAATCTTTGTCATGTGTCTGACAATTTATATAGTTGTATTTTCCATTACACACGACAGTCTGTCTTATGTTTTGCCTTTTTCCAAATACCAGGAGGAAGAGAAGCGGCAGCAGGAGCTCCTGGCCAAGAAGAAGGCCGAGGAGGAGGAACAGCGAGCTCGTAAGCTGGCTGAAGCTCGCAAAGCGCTGGAGCTGAAGAGGGAGCAGGAGCGTGAGCGGGAGAGAGAGCTGGAAAGAGAACGACAAGCAGCTGCTGAAAGGTCATCTATTCTATTTAATACTCCTAACAGTTCAAATAGATACAGAGGACTAGTATTAGATTGGCACCAAATAAACCAGGAGCGTTCAGTACTGCTGCTCTCATTCTCTGGGCTGCTGTTACACTAAACAGGTCAAGATGCTAAGTTAGCTAACTATAAGCTCAAAGAAAACCCCCACAGCTTACATTTCCTGTCATGGTGCAAATGCCTCCAAACTAATGACACAATGCATCATTTATTTGTGATGCTTTGGATTTTCTGGACAAAATGTCTTGCTTCTATATCGGCTCCACAGTCGGTTTGCTCCACTGGGTTTTTGGCAAGCAGCTCCACTGCCCATATTGAGAAAACCAGTCGACTCAATTCAAGCCAGCACTTGTTATCAGATTTTTTTTTTAAAGCATAATTTACCAGCTACAGGTTAGAGCCCCAGCTGAAGTTTAAACACTAACATTAAGTTAAGTGCTGCTGCCTGTGCTGGTCTTATCACCTCCCTGCTGTCAACATTGAGCGACTCTCTGCTTTGATATGTATGACATATATTTCAAACGACCGATAGATCACACACACTCACTAAATTAACAGCTATAAATCTACCTTTAGTTTATTCTCCATCCCCGTGAGCAGCAGCTGCAAATGGCGTCTGTGATTCTGGAGAGATTATTTTTTATTTAGCCTGTTAGCATGTTTAGATGCATGCGTCGGACTTAACATCTCCCTCCGTCTGTTCTGTGCAAACGTACTCAGGACACAATCGTGCTGCTTGGATTCGTCCAGGCCTCGATAAATGTTTTTTTTTTTTTTTTTTTGTTAGTTTGTTAGGATTTTTCATTTGTTTGGGTTTTTTGCCCAGTGCACATACAGAATGGACAGCTAATGAGGCATATAAAGATATTCACTGAGATTGACAAAAAGTATATTGCATTAAAATCGCAGAATCTACATTTAACAGTCGGAAATGATCACGTTGCAGTTTTATGAGATAAATGGATAAACGGTGCTATGATGTGGAAGAATATCAATAAATACCCGTATTGATAAAATCCCAATGGGTCCCATCCATACCTAACATCGTAGCCACAATGGCTTGTTTACAAAGTAACCCGAACATCTTAAAGGTTTAGACATTGTTTTACTGACTTGATGTTTGTTTCCAGGGAGCGAGTGGAAAAAGAAAAGGCTCTCGCTCTGCAACGTGAACTGGAGAGAGCAGCCAGAGAGAAGGAGATGAGGGAGCTGGAGGAGAAGAGGAAGGCGCTTGAGGAAAAACGAAAACTGGTAAGAAATTCAAACAGAAAATGTTTCCTGTGATGCTTTAGCAGTGCAACAAAAGGTTTTTATAGCACATAATTCTTTTTTTTTTTTTACAACTTTAGATATTTAGTCCACTCATACATACATAATTTTGAGTCATTTTCAGCAGCTCTGAGTTTGACATATAGCTGCTCAACTATGTGGTTATTGATGTGATTGTGTTTTTTTTTCCACCAGGAGGAGCAGCAAAGACTGGCTGCAAAAGAGAAAGCTCTTAAAGAGAGAGAAGCCGCAAAGCAGAAAGAGGCCACACAGGTACCCAGACAGTGGAAAGTAATACTTAACCTAATGGACACAGGCGGTTTAGACTGAGTCAAAGCTGAATTAAAGGCTACTTATTGTCAGTTTGAAGGTTCAGCCAAAGTGTGACTGGCCCAGTAGGTAGATTTGGCTTTATTTGTCCTAGTTGTCCGTAGACTTTGTTCTTTAACATTTTTTTTAAATATAAAGCAATTGTTAGTCTTTTCTGTGGATTATTCACAGAACTTTGGTTGAGAAACTCATTAAAGAGCCTAAAACCTACAGAATCTGATGAAAACTGATTTTATTTTTATTTTTTTACATTTCAATTTGTATTTATTTTTTTTACTGTTTTGTACATTACACAACCAGACATTGTGTTATGTGTTAGATATTAAATAACCATATCTTTCTCGTGTACTTTTTTTTTTTTTGGAGAATATCTTATTTGCAATGTTATTCTTAAATGTACCTTGTTTTTCCTTCCTTCTCATCTCTAATGCAGACGTGTGCTGCCCTGAATGTGACTGTGGACATTGAGGTAAGAATCTAATTACTCACTCCGTCACTTTTCACCTCAATCTTTGGCAAAGATGTGGACACATTGGAATTAAAATGTTTCCAACCTGTGTATGTAGTGCCACGTCCCGTGTGGTCTGGTTTAGGTACATCAAACAGTGCGGTCAGGCATTCAAGTGTTTACCTTATCATCAAAAACGCATGTTGGTTTTGTTTCTGTTAAAACCGTATCTTAACATCTTGTTATCACTCTTAATTCAGTTGTATGATGGACTAGCATTGGCCCTCACTGTGATCATCTCTAAAATATACAGCTCACAATAGACCTGAAAAGGAACAACCGTGATTGCACCAGCACCTTTCTGTAAAAAATTTCAACGTGAACCAATGTTAGCAGTCTTGCAAAAACTTAATTGGTTGAAAAAGTGATTTTGACTGCAGCACTTTTTCTCGAGGTGGCCTTGTACTGTTTATAAAGACACTGGGGGTGGGGAAAAAAACATTATACGGATACTCAGTCAATTAATCAATTATTGCTATTCTGTGGCTGTAAAACCACATGAGTCATTTATAGAATGTTTGTACAGCTTTGTGTTTGTCTTTTGTGACATCTGTTATTGTCCACTTGTCTTCTCAGCGCTCCGTGTTGAGCACACCTGTAGGAAAAGGTGGTGGCCCCAATGTGGTGGATTGTGAGGTAAATATTCATGATACACTTTAGGTGCACATATTTCATCAATTTCTATCTTAAAACATAACAGAAAAAAGTCCTTTTGAACATAAAGCCTCATAATGTTTTTTTTTTTTTTAATCCTTCTCCTGCTGCAGTCCTCACCACAGTCATACGTCATCACGCCAAAAGGCAGCAATAAACCTTTGATTACGTCCAAAAGTGCAGAGGATTACGGGATGGACCAAAACAGTGACGACTCCACCGACGATGAGTCTGCACCGAGGAAACCTATTCCGTCCTGGGCAGAAGGTTTGTGTGACTTAGTGCAGTTATTTATTTATTGTGATGATGCTCAGACTCTTCAGTATCCACAAACTACTGTAGTAGTTGCTTATTAATCCAACACTGGATTGGCTGTATTGGATGGAACGTGCAGCTTTAAACTGAGTCTTTTAGCGTGATATCACAAGTGGCTGTCAGTGCGTACAAAGAGCTTTTTACAAGGGTCTTGTAAAAGTCAAACATTAAAGAATCAGCCGTGTTTTCACCCAACCAATGTTATCTTAATTACCTCACCACTCACAGCTAATGAAGGCTGCCGGCACAAGTGGCGATTGCAGCCAACAAAATAATGATCGCACGATACAATCAAGAGCATATTGTTTTGATGATTAGTCAAAGCTTTGATGCTAAAAGTGCCCCACTTATTGTAAATTGCATTATGTGATTTATGAGCAGCAGTAACTGGGGTGCAGGACTTGGCAGTCAGCTGTAACGTGTCTTATTCCTGATTGATGTGTACATGATTGTGAACGATGAATGACCTATTTGATGTCTGTTTCCTCTTTCCAGGTCCCAATCTGCAGCAGATAATTATGAAGCAATACTTCAACCCTCCTGATTTAGACTCTTTCTTTGGAATAATTGAGTCACCAAGACTGGAAAACATCTTTTACAAGAGCAAGCCTCGGTATTTTAAACGCACCAGCTCTGCGGTGTGGCACTCACCTCCGGGTGGAAACAAGTAACGTCTGTACACTCATACAGATGTACACGCTGCTGTATAAAGTTTAATTTTTGAACATTTTGTTTCAAATAAAGTAACATGTTTTCTCTGAATGTTTTTATTTGCATTTTTAGTGTTGTTGATTCTTTAATAAGAAATGACCATATCTTCATATCTCAGACTTTGATTTTCATGGAATTGGTTTTAAGTTTTTGCTTTTTATAGAGTTTTGACTTTTCACTGTAACAAAGCAGAACCACTAATATTGGTGATGGGTTGGTCTCATTCTGTCGTACCAGGACAGTAAGGCAGCAAGTACAACACCAGGAATGTGGCTGTTTCTAGTATTTATGGGTGTATTGCTTTGCCATGTCAATATTAAAGGTCTGTTTTTTGTCTGATGACTTTGTCACCTAGTCGCTATTAGCAGCATGATTTTCAGGATGAGTCTGCGCTTTGTTTAAAGCCAGTAATAGTTTTCAGGTCAGAAAATGGAAGTTTGCAAATTTACAAATGCTTGACAACTCGGTGGTTGAAAGCTGCTATGCTAGGGATTCTGTAGTGAGATTATTTAATAATTCTGGACTTGAAAAGAGAATTAGATGCATACGTGTCAAATTTACAACTGAAGGTGCTTGGGCGTTTCCTAAAAACTTTTAAAAATGGCTGACTTTGGCTGTATCACTTTCCAAAAGCACAATATTTAAATTGTTGGTGATATATATGTATGCGCAGTCCAGTGTAAATACAGAAGAAAATGCACTTATATTGTTAAATTACAAAAAACAAAACAATGTAAACTTAAAGCTCATTGTATTCTACAAAAGGAACTTTCCGGCATGTTCTCTTGTCTGTACCTGCAGTTTAACTGGCTAATGCAGATTCTGGTGCAAATTATGACAATATTTGACCCTGGACCTGTACACACTGTAAATGAAGACTGAACAGCAGTGACTTAAAGTACAGTTAGCTGTTTGCTAAAATAGTTTCTGATGTTTGCTCCATTGTTCACCACTCTCTGTATTGAAAAGTGTTTACACCACTCAGTGTTTTACAGTGGAAAGCAGCTTCATTCAATATTAATAAAATACTTGAAAAATTTCCCACAAAATAATTGGATATGGCTAAGAAATAAATCCAGGAATAGATGTAATAATTATAGTTCTCTTTTAAAAAAAAGAAAAGAAAAAAATTCAAAATATAGATTTTTAAAATTTTCTAAGGGGCTTATTTTTTTTTATTATTATTATTAATAATAATAAAATACAAAAAAGATTTTTTCTTATTTATTTTGCAATATATTTCATGCGTTTTATTATAATGTTTATTTAATATTATTAAATAATTCCATGCCTAAACCTGAACATGTTTAGAAAATTACCTAAAACTTGGGCAAAGAGCACGTTTACATTCAGCCCTGTGTAATGAAGTGATGATTTATTGGAGATAAAACGCTGTATCACTGTTTGTGGAGTCAGAAGCTGCGGTTAAATCTACGTAAATCTGTGACAGTTAAACCTGAACACCTGAGCACATGGACCGTTTCCTGCTGCTGTCTGGTTCGTCCGTCCCGCACCTTTCACCGCAGACGTCGCTGCGTCGTTCAGACTGCGCCGCTGACACGGACAGACAGCAGCACCGTCTACTAGTCTGACAAATACCAGCCTAATTATTATAAATAATAATATTGGACCGTATCACAAACAGGCTCAATTTCTTCAGTACAAAGTGAGGAGTCGTCAAAAAGCAGGTGGGTTTATTTAACCGTCAGCTCAGCCTGTTAGCTAGCTTACTAACTGTCTGCCGTTGATGGGACGAGCTGGTGCAGGTTGACTAGCTAGCAGTGACTAACTCCGTCAGGTAACTTCACTAGTAGCCTCGTTAGCATGCTACTGGTTAGGCTGCTGCCTAACTGGGACGTGCTAGTTTCCATGAGTAAAAGCAGTATTATTTCCAGCCAAGGCTGCTCTCTGCTTTAATAAACTATCCAGCCTCCATGTTGGCATCTTTCATGGGACCAACTGAACGTGACGTTTGTCTGCATTAGCAGCTGAACAATGTTTGTGTTTTATTCCTAAAAATAATCAGTTAGTGAACAGACCCAGTGTGTGTTGTCCTGTTCACCATGGTTGTTTGTTTTTTATCATTCATATCTGTGACTAGCTGTACATCAAGACTACAGTTGAGATAGTTTAGTATCTTTGATTAATAACGTCTTAGTTAAATACACAGTTGGCCTTTGTTTTCCTGTTATTGTGATATGAAGGTCATTCAGTCTGGGTCGATATGAATGCAGCTATTCTCTTAAAGGGTCAATGCACACAAATCACTGTCCCCACAGACCTGGCAGTTTGTTTTAAGTTGGAGTGGATGTTTTATGAGAAAGTAGTAGATCCACTAGAGCTACAATAAACATCTAAGAAACTAACTACTTCAATTATGTCCATCCACTTCCATTGTATCAGGGCGAAATTACAAAGACGTGTCTCAAAACTTGGACATACACCAAACACAACTACAAATGTTGCAGATGTCTGTGGTATCATGCTGTCAGAAACAACTTCTTAAAGAACAAATGCTGTACTTGTGGACACTCCAGTATGCAGCATGCCAATTGCCCATTCTCGTGTATCTCTTATCATCTGTGGCATCGTATCATTTAAATAAAGTCGTCTTATAAGATGTCACTGGTACAGGACTGACTGTTTGCTGGTTACACATTTGACCCATTTTCTAACCATAACAATTGAAATTAGACTTTCAAACTTTTCTTCTAAGTCAGAACAACAGATCATTTGCCTTCTGTGTTGTTCAGCATCTACCAGCCACTGACAGATAAATGTTTAACATCACCAGCCATTCAACAGTAAATCATTGTTTTGTGACTGGAATCTAGTAGCCAGTTTCATATTTTCCTGAATGTGGCTGTTGCTAAATTCCCACTCTGGTTATGTGAATAGAAGGTTCTTGTCATTTGGGGCAAGTGAGTGGTGGCAGATGGTTATTTGATTTAGTGTTCTGCATGTTGGCATAAAGATGCTGTCATTGGAAATCCATGTATTCAGTTTTGCAGGCGTCTCAGAGACATAAGTTAATGAATACTTTGTGCTATATGAGGTGCCGTCAGCTCTCTCATTTGTGGTCCAATGTGTGTTTGTCGCCCTCTCGTTGTTGGTCATGTTTCATGGCACAACATGCATCGACTAATTTAGGTTTTCTATTCATGTCTATATACTTGCATAATATGCCTCTCCAGTTACGTACTGCCCTACATTTGACCAACAGAAGAGTCTGTGGGCATTTGCTCACTTATTTATTAATTGTTTTATTCAATACAGAAATGAGTTCGCAAATCCGACAAAACTTCCACCAGGACTGCGAGGCTGCCATTAACCGACAGATAAACCTGGAGCTGTACGCCTCTTATGTTTATCTCTCCATGGTAAGAACTCCTCTCAAGCCAGCAGCATCATGTATTGTAGCACGGTATTAAGTCAGTGAGTCATGTTTCTCATCCTGTTTCTCTCCTGGCTTTTAGGCGTACTATTTTGAAAGGGATGACAAATCCCTCCCAAATTTTGCAAAGTTTTTTCACAAACAGTCCAAAGAGGAGCGTGAGCACGCAGAGAAGCTGATGAGTCTGCAGAACAAGCGGGGAGGCAAAATTTTTCTGCAGGATGTCAGGGTATGTAAGGATCCTTTTATTTTTGGGAAAAAAAAAAAGTTTGGATGAAAAAACTTGATTAATGCCTGTTTTTCGAATCAAAAAAAGTGCCCGTACAAATCCTTAGTCCAAAGTGATGTCTCTAGATTTTCTATGACCAAAACTGCAATAATAATAATGTGTCCAGATTCCTGTTTTAGCACGTTTTATTTGAACAAATCAGTGTTAAATTCCCATTAATTATTTATGTGTCAGAAACCTGATAGGGACGAGTGGGGGAGCGGCCTGGAGGCTCTGGAGTGCGCCCTGCAGCTGGAGAAAAGCGTAAACCAATCCCTGCTGGACCTGCAGAAAATGGCGTCCGAGCACAATGACCCTCATGTGAGACACAGACTCAGATAAATTCCTGTATCTGCCGTTTGGAGCTGACAGTCTAATAAGATGCAACATTTTGTCCTGTTTCCTCCACAGATGTGTGACTTCATAGAAACACATTACCTGGATGAGCAGGTGAAATCTATCAAAGAGCTCGCCGACTGGATCTCAAACCTGCGCCGTATGGGAGCTCCGCAGAGTGGCCTGGCTGAGTACCTCTTTGACAAACACACCATGGCTGAAGAAGGCAGCTAAACTAAGCTGTGAAACCAGCCTGACACCTGCTACAGATGACAACATAACACTGTTATATTTATGTTTGTTAGCTGTTTTAAAAAGCCATAGATACTGTAGCTTTCTAAACTGGACTGCTGCAGATATCCCCGTATTATACTGACTGTTTTAATGTTTAAATAAATATTTGCTTCTCCTTGAGCATTAAGTGTGAGTGGAGGCTGCAATATGTCAGTGTTTTATATTAAGTGGAATTACATTGATTTGAAAAATGATCATTCAGCTTTGATTGTTTGTAATTATCTTAATGGAAGGAAAAAAAATATACATCTGTTAGATAAAATTATTATTTTCTGACTTCTTGAATTTTTATTTTATTTGTTTGTGGAATACTGGAGACTTTTGCTTCTCTTTAAGCAGCCCTAGGAGGAGCTATTGCTTTTTAGTTTAAGTCCACATAAAAGCCATAACCTGCGATCAGGGGTGCAAAGAAGACATTTTTTACATCGTTTTAAAGGTGGAGTGAATCATTCTCATCCAATACACTCTGTTGAGTTCTGTGAATATTTCCTGGCGGTCTGCTAGCCGTCCTGTGTTCAAAATTTGTGTACTTAGCTCTGGCTTTGTACATTTTCCATACAACAGAGTGAATTCAAACGATTTTTAAAACACTGCTCCCCCTTTTTGTGCACTGTAGAGGAGATGTGAGAAACAGCATTACCCAGTTCTCACATCACTATTTCCCAGGCAAAAAGACTAGCAGGAAGCCAGTTTCAGCACCACAGGGCTCTGCTCCTGTGCTCATGGCGCAGACTGAGAATCCCATCCTACTTGGCCTCTTCTGTGCAGCAACCACTGCAGCAGATCATCTAGCTCCACCAGGGAAGGGATGGACTCTGCAGCCGACTCCATGGTTCTACTAGCCGGTAAAAGCAATAGCAACAGCTAACTCACTAGTTTTCACTCAAATGATGTTTTGTTTCCGTCATAAGACAGAGATGTCCAGATTCTACACATGACTTTTTTTGGTCAGCAAGGCCAGTTGTTATTATTATTGAGGTGACAATGTGGGTTTGTTAATTTCGGGCAGAGGTCTCCGTAGGAACTCTGAAGGCTAAGTTCAGATACCAACAATTGTCCTCAGGAATGGCTTTCTCCACCTTTAAGGAATCACAGGCCAAAAACATGGGACCACAACCACAGACCAAGATATTGTTGTTACGTTATGTATTGCTTGAAACACTGCATTAGCAATTGAGTTTTACTTCTTTATTTGCTCATTATTATTTACTGTTAATTCTGGGACCACTGTATAAAGCTGCTACCTACTTATTTTTTACTTCTTTATGTGTTGGACATCACAATCTAAGTTTGGTACACTGGCTGCATACTTTTAAAGAAAATCATTGTTGAATTGTTTGTGCACATTTTATGTCACGAACTATTACATCTGATACACACTCATGTAAACGGGGAGGTTATATGCATTAAAAATGTTTCTTCACAGCCGGTCAGATTGCTTCTATAGTATTTGTAGTTTTGAATTTAAGTCAAAATGTCCATACAATGCACTCCTGTAATCAGAAAATAAAGTAGTAATGTACAAATAGTTTCAGGTTTCAATTTTTATTTTAAAAAGAAGCATAACATGTGATAAGTAATATTTATTAAAGAGTACACTTGTGGAAACAATGCTAAGACTACCAGAGATTAAGAATATACACATTTTGGCCTCTTGTTGTGGTGTTTCAGAGGAAACCGGAAAGTATTTCTTATTTCTCCTTCACATGTTGACGGTTAAATCTCTTAAGGTGCTTTTTGCGTTACAAGTAGGTTAATTCTTCTGTGCGAGTGTATCAGGAAGTGGAGAATAACTCTGTGCTGAAGCTGGCTCCAGATGGCTTTAAAGCATTTCAGAAGTAACACAGTTCAGTACCTGTTGTGGTGTGGAGCAGGTTGAATACCACATGCACTAAAAAAAAACAGTGTCACACCTTCTTTTCTGAGTCCTGCTCCCTCCCTCCTGCCGCCTTGTTCGCCCCACCGTCCACCAGAACACCCAGCAGGTCCCCTTCAGCCAATGAGATCCCTGAATCATTGGGTGAGTTTTGCTGATTGGTTTCTTGCTGCGATGGCGCTGAAGTGGAAACAGTGTTCATGTTATTGCTCAGCCCGCCGTTGGTGCCCCCATTGCTCGCCCTCATGTTGGCGCTGAAGTTCCCATGGTTACTAAAATTACCGTGACCTGTACCGTTGCAGAGACTTCCCGTCGTGCCAGCGCTGTTGGTGCTTGTTGCATTAATGCTGCTAGAGCTGCTGTTGGGATTACTGGGATTTGCTGGCGCCGTGCGAGAGGGAGGACTGAACGAGAACACCCTTTCTCCTCCGCCTCCTGCGGCCCGAGCACTTGGGGGTCCAGGCTGGCTGTCAGCTGATGGGAGGGTGTCCAGAGTGAGGCGAGGAGGGGGAGGGCGGCGAGACAGCAGGCCGTGTCCCGGTCTGAGTTTAGATATCGGACAGAGTTCAGGTGGAGGGTCGGGGAAGGAGAAGGTAGGGGCGCTCTGAGTCTCACCATCCTCACTCAGCCAGGGGAAAGCAGAGGACGGTGGTGGGGGGACGTGGTTAGGGGTGTCGGGAGGAAGCAGCTGTGAGCCCACCATTGGAGGGGCCAGGGAGCTACAGCTGCGATCCCACTCATTCTGGGTTCTCCGGGCGGGTCGAGGTCGGGGCACCGCAGGGGGCACGCAGTGGATGGGTGTTTGTGGGCAGCTGTAGAAACCTGGTCTCTCATATAAGGGCAAGGTGGAGAAGGCGTAGTCCGGATCCTGGCTTAAAGGCGGGCGGCCTTGACCTGGAGTCGATGGCGCCTCTGGGTGCAGGTAAAGAGGGAAGCGACTTAGCGGCGCTCCAGGGCGGCGACGCAGCAGAGAGACCCGGGAGGAGCGAGGGAAGTTCGGGGACTGGACACCGAGAAGACGACCCAACCCTCCAAGCAGCGGCGTGGAGTAGTTAGCTTCCTCATTTTCTTTGATCTGCTCCAGATTGGACTGGAACTCCATCTCCTCCTTAGGAACACTGGTTTAGATCAAGCAGAAGGTTAACCACATGTGAAGAGTAGATTTGAGAAATGTCTGCAAGACAACAAAAACTGTTGTGAACCTGATGTCCAAAGCTGAGCCCATGAAGGAGGGTTTGCGATGTTCAGCACTGGCAGTTGTATAGGGAGGCTGAGGTTCAGACTCATTCCAGTACATGTCCCTCTCAACCAGCGGCAGGCTGTCGTACATCTCATCCACAGACAACAAGGACACCTGGGACACATTGAGAACCGCTGCAGGTCAAACAAGACAACCACAATGTGTTGTCGATGGAAAACAAACACTTTGTTTTAGATCCACACCTGTAAATTGCGATCAACAAGCCAGTTGGTTTCAAAGTCATCGTCATCTTCACCAAAAGGATTTATGAGTTGCTCAGCCACCTGAAACAAGACAAAAAACCTCCTCAATAAAGGTCAGAAGTGAAGAAATGAATCAAATTTCTGTGAGTGGATCATATAATCAGCTGAGCCTCACCTTGAGCCAACCAACATAGAAGAAAAACTGCAGCAGGGTGAAAACAGGCAGGTAGAAGTCCAGATCGTGACCGGCGTAACCCTGAGCCGGATCCAAGAACTGACGACCAATCAGACAGGCCAGGAAGAAGCTGTAGACTGCTACCGTCGCCACCTAATTAAAAAACATCAGTCAAGTCTGGCAGTGTTCAAAACGACCTCAGAGAAAAATTTCCAAAGTCAATTTAGTCATTTCACTCTCTTTTTGTTCATCAAATTCATTTTGATTGAGTTAATCATTTTAGGTACAAAAGGATTGTTGTAAGAGTACATCTTTTTTAGTCGTCTAAAACTAGTTTACTGTCATTGTTTTTGGCATCATTTTTTGACAGTGAATGAGAACTACTGGGTCTTTTTGTTCTACTGCCAAATCATCAACTGTATTTTGGCTACAGCACACAATGCAGCATCAAAAAACCTGAGTATAGACAAGAGGCAGGCTGATCCAGTCATAACCGTACAGCTTCATACACTTTGCCCGTAAACTATTCAACTCCTGAACAGAGAAAAAAAAAGCAAGAGTCATGCAAAACCAGAAAACGCTTTGAAGCTAAGATTTGAAGAAGTTCCGGCCCCTTGGACCTGCAGACATGAACACCTACAGTGAGGATGGCCGTGAGCGCCACGTCGTTGTTGATGCGACCCTCAGTCCGTGCTCTCAGAGCCAGACTGACGAACCACATGCAGGGCACCCAGAACTTGTTATGTGGAGATGGCAGATCCTCTAGGTGCCTCAACTCCTCAGACGTCATCAAACCTGAGCGGGACACGGGATAGTGTGGAGATGACAGCAGCCAAATGATGCTTGTTTTGATTTTGGTCAGCAGAACTTGTGAGCTCAGTCACCAAGTAGCAACAAGCACCTTACAAATAGTCCAACCACATCAGATGGAGACTGATGTTTTGCTTTTGGACCTATTTGTTGTTATGTATAAGTCTAAAAGGGACGTTTGACTGTTTCTTCAATACTTTTAACTGATGCAAATTGAGAGGGCAGCTTTGAACATGTTTGTGTTCAGTGTGATGAAAACCAGACCCCAGACCTTTGAGGTTTCATCGTACCTGCCTGCACCAGATGCTCCATGGTGGGGAACCTCTTGTAGACGGCTGTGCTGACAGAGCGGTAGATGAGCACACCAGAGAGGTTGGCGTACCGCATCAGCGTTCGACGGGTCAGCCTGGAGGCCTCGTCAGCTCCACGGACGTGACCTCCTACCAACGCCGCCAAACGGTCTGGCCAGGGTACGTTCTCAAACTGGCCCCACCAACGAGATACGACCAAAGTCACGTAGAAACCTGGTGAAAAACAGTAAATAAGTAGATGGCAAGTTTCAGTGATGGTGTCCAGGAACACAGGCGTTTAGATGAACTGAACAGGAGTAGAAATGTCAGCCCCGACTCACCCAACACAAACGACACAGGGATGAGCTCTGCATAGCGATCGCAGTATATTGACAGCTTCTCAAACAGCCTCTTCTGGTCATTGTTTAACACAAACCTGGTAAAGGAAACATCTGGTGAGTTCTCCAACACTGAAGCACTGAGGTGAGCCTTTAAAGAAGACCATGTGCTACACTTACTGGTGAAAAGTCATTTGTTTTAGCACTGTTTTCTCCTGTCTGCAGGTTGGGACCTCTCAAACGATCTTTGCTTATGTCAAAACCTTTTTTCTTTTCAAATATGACACATTTATCTTTTAGGATCCTAAAAACTATTTCAAAACTACACTGTTCAGCCCCACCATCAAAACTGCTGACAGGTTGTGTGAATAACATTGGTCATCTTGTTCGAATGCAATGTTCTGTTCTGGCATTCATGTGGATGTTACTTTGACATGTAGCACCCTCCTAAGATTTGTTGCAAGCACACCCTTCTGATGGCAAGTGCTCACTCCCCCGTGATAGCAGCCTTCCCTATCAGGGCGATGTGCCCCGCCACACTGCAAAACCTGCTCAAGAGTAGCTCATGAAACACCACCAAGATCCCAAGGCTGGCTTCCAAACTCCCAGAACTCCTGAAACTCCCAAATCCAATACACAGAGACCGTGCAACCCACAGGACCCAAAGGATTCACTGCTGCTGATGTCCAGTGCTAAACAACACTGGACACCCCCAGAGGTCATGTGTCCATACCCTGATAGATCAGAGCTGTTTTGGCACCAACATAATGTTATAACGGAGTTAGAAATGTTTTGGCTGATTGGTGTCTAACTGTCATGGCATTACAGATCATGGGTAGGACTTTTGTATGTGCTGGTTGTCTCCTAAACGTTTATTGACCTGCATTTGAAAATCTTTGTCCAGTAAAAATTCACTTTTAAGAAAATTGTGGATGTTTATATTGACAGCAGCTGAGATTAAGATAGAGAGTTGGTCCTATAATATAGTTCTTTTTCTATGGTTTTGCTATAACATGGGGCTGCAAGGTGGCGCAGTTGGTT